CCACTTAGCTTACCTGAGGGATGGAAGCCTAGAGTTACCTTTATAATGAGAGAATATATCACGTCTCTCTCATACATTTATTGAAGGGTTCAATACGAATTAGCTAATACCACCACAAAATGTCAGGGTCTTCAAATAATCTGCTCACTTCTTAGTAGTAATGGACGCACTAATATCTACATCATTTTTAGTCCTATTTGCAGAACTGGGCAAAATCAATTTGAATTTTTAATAAACTTCTTCTCTGTTATACGCTTTGACACAACCAGGCGCGATTGATTCAATCCTACAGTTTCCTGAAAGGGATTCGCACACCACTGACCTACCGGACTCGCATAAAAATTCTGTTAGCCTCGATGTCAACTTCCCTGGCAATGGAATATCTGATATCGCTCAGCCCACTTTGTCACTGACCGGAGTTCATACTCTCCTCTCGCCAACAATTTCAATCTCCAGCCCACAATTTCCACCGCAATCTCTTTCACCTGTCTTGCTAACACCTCCACCACCTCTACCATCAACACCACCCAAACCAGCGACAGCAACAACAGCAACAACCGAACAACCACTATCTCAGTCAATGGCGCCACAAATAATGGAAAAACTTCCAGACACATCAGAGATTATGCATAACTCATTCAACCTCTCGAGCGTCTCGTCCTCCCTTTCAACTCTCCTACCAACTACCTTGAAGAATCCACTGACGAATCATCTACCACACACCATTTCGATTGTTTCCACGCCCTCTGCTTCTTTGTTAACTTCATCTCAGCCTCAGACACATTCTTCATTGTCCCAGCCTCCCACATCACTTGGTCAGTCTTCTACCGGCTGGCCGGGTTCCTTCCAGCGACGAAGTGCCCCCGGCTGCAATTTGAATGCCAGTATCTCCAATCTATCGGGCTTCCGGCTGGATGCCTCCTATAGTCGTTGTTCCGCTTTCATAACATCACCGTTTATTTCGGGTGAAGATGATGAAGTAGAACAACAGTGGGTAGATCAGCAGTTGAACCTTGAGGAGTTAGACAGTCTGTTGGGCTTATCATAGCCGATTCTTTCTACTCCCCGAGGATATCACCGTTTCCAATATGCATGTATTGCCAGTTTTGTTCTATTAGCCTTCAGCAAATTCTAAGGGCCATTCCATGGCAGACAACTTTCTTATCAACTTGAAAAAATTATTCTTCCCTCTTCACGCTAAGTGTAGAATATTTTAGCGATTCTGTAATCTGACATAAGCGAAACAGTAATCTGCATCGACAGTCTACTTACTTCTTAGCTCGTCTTCCTGACACGATTTATTGCCTTTTAGATCGTATTCCTTATTTCTTCCTTTAACTAGTCGGTTGATGCCATCATCATTGCCTTTACAGAGACATGTATTTTAGGCTCGAAGAGATGTCCATAGGCCTCATTTCTTCCCGCAACAAGTCAATTGATGCCGAAAACTGTCCACACACTGACCCACCTAAATGATTGGGCAATAGAGGAGTTAATTGGATCATAACAAAAATAAAGCCTTTTATAAGCGAAAATATGTTGACTTCCATTTGGTGGCGATGACCTTCCCAAACATTACCGGTTTAAGAAGTTCATAT